AAACAACTTTTTCTGAGGTTGCACTCTATATAACAGCGCTCGCTTAGGGGGGAGGGGGTGGGGCGGGCTAAGAATGAGGATGGGGGGGTGAGGGAGGTCGGGTTAGGGACCGCGGTGGATCGATTGTGACGGTGGTCAGGATAGGGGCAGCCGCTGGATGCGGATGACGCCTTGGAGCCTGGAGATTTGGCGGTGCTGGGGAACACCAGAGGGTTCTCTGTTAGCCTGGGGGTGGAGTGGCGGACTGTGGTGGCAAAGCATAGTATAACAGTTACGAGGGTGCGGGGATCAGCGGCCACTCCAGGACCAGGTATGGAGGTGGAGCAGCGCCTGGAAGAGGATTATTGAGAGGTGATCATTGTGGTGGTTGGTGGTGTTGGAGGGCGTGGGAAATAAATCTCAGAACCTCGGACCTGCGTTGGGCCTTCCAAGGATGCGGTATCTGCAGAGAATATTCTATAGTCGGGGCTGCGGGGAGTGGGGAGGTGGGGGAATCCCACAGTTCTAATCCTAGTCTCTTGACCACTCTTCTTCCATCCTCATTGAATAAAACACTAGCCCCCTTTCCTTGCAGCCCCCAGCTGAGTCTTACTGTCTTTTCCTGAGGAGGTGGTATGTATCAGGTCTCTGAGCCGCAGCGTCAGCCTTGCCTGTAGATTTGCGCATAATGTGCCTGGACTCAAACAAAGAAATGGATATATCTACAGAAAAATGGATTGTCCTCTTTTTACCTTAAATGGGATAAGGAGGATTAACATTTGGCTTCTAGTGAGGTTTTAGGGCTGGCTGTGTGTGTGTGTGTGTGTGTTTTCTTCCTTTCCTAGAACCTGGTGGCATTCTGAACAGGCCTCTTTGAAAGCTCTTTGCTTTCAATGGAGACTGCAGTACGGTTCCAACGCAGTTTTTTTTTTTTTTATACACACTTCTTGGATTTCTGTCCTTCAGAATCCCTAAATTGGCCCTTTATTAAACTAGCCATTCCTTTGATAAATAGGGAGGCTTCTTTATTCAACATTCCTGCCTCACAGTCAGTTTTTCATTAGGAAGGCTCTGAAATTCAGGAAAATGATCAGATCAATGTCAACCCAGTTCAGTTCCAGGAATGACTAGCAGATGCAGAAAAGTAGGATTGCCCACTTCTACCCTGAATTGTTGAACAGGACATCCAGTATGATACTTTACTCTCATCACAGAAGTTTATTTTTTCCTATTTTCTCTAGGTTAGAGTAATTTCTACCCTCAGAGATAATGATTGTTTCACTGGAGGAACTGAGGAAGCCTTAATAACTATCAAGTCAGATAAATCTAATTGAGCTTCACCTAATAATGTTATTCTTGCAGTAAAAAAGGTACCTTTATTGTGCCCTGGTCCACTGCTGGTGGGAATGTAAACTGGTGCGTCCATTGTGGAAGACAGCATGGAGATACCGCAGAAATCTGAATACACACCTACCATATGATCCAGCCATCCCACTCCTGAGAATTCACCCAAACCAAAAGAAATCAACATATGAAAGAGTTATCTGTATCCCCATGTTCATTGCAGCACAATTAACAATAGCTGTAATGTGGAATCAACCCAGATGTCCATCAGTTGTTGACTGGATTAGGCAATTATGGTATATATGCACTATGGAGTACTACTCAGCTGAAAAAAAAAAAAAAAGAAATCCTATCTTTTTCAGCAAGATGGTTGTAGTTGGAAACCATTATACTTAGTGAAATAAGCCACTCGCAAAAAGACAGATACTGTGTTTTCCCTGATCCATGTAACTAATAATTACCTGAAATGTAACATATTGGAGTGAAATAGACATTTTGAGAATCTATGATTGTTTATAGCCCTTGTCTCTTCCATTGAGGATCAGTGTTTAGTTTTGTTTTCTTTCTCTTCATACTATTTCTTGAACTCCTTTACTTAGAGTAGGGTTAACTATATGATCATTAAGTATACTGAAAATAGATCATTGTAAAAATTAAGAGTGGGAATCCGAGAGGGAGGGGAAGGAAGGGTTACAGCATAGGCAGAGGGAGGGAGGATTGGGGAAGTGCTACTATGTTCCTAAATCTGTTGATACACTGTATGAAACTCATGTAACTTAATAACATTTTTAAAAGATATCTTTAGCCTATAATCGCATCTAAGTATCACAGAAGGATGTGGGAAATCTGAGTCCTTTAAAAAAAATGGGAAGGAGCATAGCCATCTTTTTGTTTTAAAGATTTATTTATTAGGCCGGCGCCGCGGCTCACTAGGCTAATCCTCCGCCTAGCGGCGCCGGCACACCGGGTTCTAGTCCCAGTCGGGGCGCCGGATTCTGTCCCGGTTGCCCCTCTTCCAGGCCAGCCCTCTGCTGTGGCCAGGGTGTGCAGTGGAGGATGGCCCAGGTGCTTGGGCCCTGCACCCCATGGGAGACCAGGAAAAGCACCTGGCTCCTGGCTCCTGCCATCGGATCAGTGTGGTGCGCCCCGCTTGCAGCGCGCCGGCCGCGGCGGCCATTGGAGGGTGAACCAACGGCAAAGGAAGACCTTTCTATCTGTCTCTCTCTCTCACTGTCCACTCTGCCTGTCAAAAATTAAAAAAAAAAAGATTTATTTATTTATTTGAAAGGCAAAGTTACAAAGAGAGAAGATGCAGAGAGAGAGGTCTTCCATCCACTGGTTCACTCCCCAGTTGGCTGCAACCACCAGAGCTGTGCCTATCTGAAGCCAGGAGCTTCTTCTAGGTCTCTCACGAGGGTGCAGGGGTCCAAAGACATGAGCCATCCTCCACTGCTTTCCCAAGCCATAGCAGAGAGCTGGATTGGAAGTGGAGCAGCCGGGACTCAAACTGTTGCCCATATGGGATGCTGGCACTGCAGGTGGCTTTACCCACTATGCCACAGTGCCAGCCCCACCAACTTTTATATTGATAATAAATCCTACCTTCCCATTAGAATGTAAGGTCCTTTGGGGAAAGCGCCTTTGCTGCATAGTAGCTGCTCCAGAAGTCTATGTGAATTGGATGGATGTATACAGCTTTATAATGTAGAATACATTTTAAATATTTATGATCTGAGTTAATACAACAACCTTGAGATTACATGAGTATCATTTTTACAGCTAAAAAAGTGGAGGCCAAGAAGTTAAGTGACTTGTTCAAGGTCCCACAGTTCAGGCTAAGACTGATCTGCTCTCTAGTCCATTGCTGTTTCCACTTTGACACAGCTGTAAAGGATGGTCCAGGAGTGAAAGCAAGTAGCTCATATAAGCCACGTCATTATATCTCAGAATTTCACTGCAAGAACAGCCTTGTACATAACCAGGGCGTTCACAACAAACTAGGTCAGTGGTAGATAGTATTGAAAGCTCAAGCATCCAGGATGTCTTGTGTATGTACATGTATACATTTGTGTGTAGCATGTGTACTAAAAATCATCGTGTTACATTTGATGTAGCATTATCAGCTTAATTGAAAAGTAGTGCTTAGGGCCCACACTGTGTGGCACAAGGGGTAAAGTTGCTGCCTGCAATGCAGGCATCCCTTATGTGCACTAGTTTGTGTCCAGGCTGCTCCACTTCTGATAAAGTTCCCTGCTAATGGTGTGGGAAAAGCAGGGGAAGATGGCCCAAGTATTTGGACCCCTGCATGCATGTGGGAGACCCAGATGAAGCTCCTGGCTTCTGCCTGGCCCAGTCCTGAATGAACATTGTGGCCATTTGGGGAGTAAACCAGTGGATGGAAGATCTCTGTCTCTTCCTCTCTCTCTGTAACTCTTTCGAATAAATAAATAATTTTTTTAAAGTAAGGCTTGCATTATATCTGATAACTTAAGTGGGAGAAAGAGAAGGGCCAAAAAAGAATCTTGGAAGCTGGGGACCAAGTACATTGTTCCAGTTTAGGAAGGCTTTATGTTAGCTCTTGTCTTCAAGTGGGTAAAATTTGTATTCTAGTACTTGGTGTTAGTGTTGATGTTGATTGAGCTTTTGTGTTGACAGAATACTCTCTTCTTGAGTGATCTGCAGAATACTTGGTGAACAGCCCTTTCTAAAGTAAAATTGCTCACTTGTTCAAAGTTCATCACCTGACAGACCAAGTTGTGAACAGTAGCAGAAAGGGAAGTTGCACATTTTT